TTTTATTGTTATACCTGCTTATCAAAAGCTCCCATGCTCTCTCATAGTTATCCCCTACCACTGGTATTTGTCGAAGAAGTTGTTCGGCTTCCCCTGATAGATATCCCTTTAAGTAATGAAGTTTCTGAACGTTATCTATATTACTATTTGAATGAATTAATGATATAAACAAATCTCTAAAAGTAGGCCACTCAGCATACTTCCCAGAGAATATAGGAATATTTATTTTAGGTAATTTGAATAAATTATTTACCCCCTGACAGCTTGTAATTTTTACTTCAGAAACAGAAACAGGAACAGAAATAGGCATACATTTCAATAAAGCAACTTTAAAATCTGATTTGTATTCAATATATAAATCTTCTGTGATATCATAAACTTCCTTATCGGAATATTCTTTAACGTCTTTATTTATTGAATCATATCCTAGTAAAATATGATTATGCGTACTATTAAATAATTTCCATAAATCCTCTAACGTTTCTAAACGAGTTTGTATATACTCTTGCTTAGCCAATCTGTCTTTAGAAGCTTTTTTAAAATTTTCAAACCCTTTTTGTATTTTTCTTTTAATATCAAATTGAACTCTTAACAAACCCTCCATCTTTTAAATTAACAAATATAGCAAGTTTTACTGTACCTATACCACAAACAAAGAATTATTTATCGCAACAAATGGTATATAACTTCTTAACACTAAACTAAACAACAACTATTTTTATCGCAAACCTTCTTTGAAGTATAATTAACATAAATTATCAAAGTCTCATCTTCCGATTATTTGTTCAATGTTCCAGTAGTAATTTTCATTGATGTCATAATCACCATAAAGACAAATTTGTACTCACTTTTGCACAAACACTTACACCGTGACGTCACACTACGCCCAGTACGACGTCGTTCACCTCACCTTCCTGCATGTACTTTTCAGCTGTCACCTTCCCTGCAGCGCGTCACCCGCGCGCTGCTGCAGTCGTCTTAGCACACCGCCCGTGCTATCTCCGCTGCTGTCCGACGATTACGCCGTCGTCGGATTCTGGTGACCCAGCCACTCCGTTTATGCACCCGTTTCGCTGCGCAGGAATACTTCGCCCACCGGAGCTGAAAAATTTTCCATCATTTATAAATCCGGCTCGAAGGACCATTTTGTTAAATAAAATCATTAATTTTTAACAAAACATTTGTATTTTATTTTTATAATTTTTTGACAACATCAAATCTTAATTTATTTTTCTATATATATATTTTAATCATAGACAACTCGTAGGTATAAAACCTTAACATACTTACTGAATAGTGTTTAGTTTTGTTTTAAATTAATGTAATCAATCGTCTTGTCTCATATGTCATATGACACCTGTTATATTTGTTGGTATGTCCTCATGCCTCGTTCTTCAAGTCGAAGTTTTCATCACAAAAGAGTTTAAACCAAAATTGCAAGGTGCGTTCACTAACAGACCCCTCTCCAAACGCGCCATTGATATTGCGGACTGTTTCTGCCGCGTTACTTCGGCGTCGGAACTGGTATTCAAGAATCACTCGAATTTTCGCAGTATCCATCTTTCTTGTCTAAATTGAATAACAAAAACAACTGAAAGTCGATATTCAAACGTTTCACATTTTTTAAATGAAGAACATCATAGAAACCACGTGGAAAAAGTTTCTTTCGAAAACCTCAAACCATGAAGATTCTATGTCAATTCAAGGAACCTATTACAATAAAACGGCAATTTTATACTTTGACCCGTAATATCACAAATGTTTCGATGACACGCCAATTTAAACAATTATTAAATAGGGAAAATAATTTGTTTCTTTTTTTAAAGAAGAAAGCATTCTTAATGAGAATGACCAAATACGGAATAGTATCCGTAATGTATAATACGGAAATTATAACCTAAATTATTCTCTTATAAACTTTAAAATAAGCCAAGCAAATTTACAAAGAAGTTTTTAATTTCAATGCCTTTCCATATATGGATACTATTCCACATTTGGTTACCTTAATTTTCAACTATCAAAGTAAACGTTTGTATTTATGAGGTATGGTGGAACTATTGGGGACATAATATATCAATGTCACGTGGAGGTAGATGAACTAAATTACCTAAATCGCCCATTCTTTTATTTTCACATGGAAACACAAATTTGTTAGACCGGTCACAATTGCTTTGATCTAAGCTGTCTGATAATGTTTAGGTAGATTTGTTTTTTCAAACATTAGGAAAATGAACTTATGTTATAAGAAAAAGAATGTGAGTGTGCATTACATTTAGGCGTTTTTTAACAAACTTCAATAAGTATGAAATTCATAGTTAGTCGAAAATTTTTATGGTGTTGAAGATGCACTAATTCAGACACTAATCATGAGATCCTACAATTTTTATAGATAATGTGTTTCATGTTAAAGTATTTGCGTCTGGGACTTGTTGTGTCATGTTGCTGAACTGATGCTGGTGGTTAATTAATATGTATAATAAATTAAAAGTAAAAACACTTTCAAATTTTTTATAATCATACCTACTGGTGCATTTTCAAGCATTTGTCATTAAGATAAATTTATCAATGAATATTTAACAAAAAACACCGTCTGACATATTTTATGTAATGAAAAGTTGTTACGAATACTCCTTACTCCTTCACTAATGTTCCATAGTAATTTGAAGGCTATGCGTGACTTGAAAACCTAAAAATCATATATGCCTGAACTGGATCATTCATTTTTTATGAGCATATCCCTTATACTTACGGGGGAAGGGGTCTATCGATGGGTTTTTCCATTGCATTTTTACTGTCGATATTGGGAATAGCAATTTTTTACTTTTCATTTGTAGCGGTGTCTGCTGACCGGGTAAAAAAACTGTTTTTATTGAATATCATCCGTCCTTCACAACACTTTTCAGTCACAGTACTCTAAAACTTTTAATGACTAAAAGTTCTTGTGACTTTTACAGTTACATATTGATTATAGGTACAATGAAATTTCCAATAAACTGTTGTAAAGTTTCTGGAACAATGTTATATTTACTGGAAAAAAATACTTTTTATAAAACTCACGAAAAACTATCGTTTCAGTAATTAGACGTTAACTTACGAAAGTATACAAAATAGTATTCAAAAACCTTAATAATAAATTATTGACAACAGCCCGAGTATATAGTTCAGTTACAATTAACCTAAGCAACGACCGACTTAACTCCAAATACAGGTACTGTACAATTCTCAAATAATTATTAAAAATGATTTATTAGAAAAAAGCATTCAATATAAAGTTTATTTATCATTCCGGTGTCACAGAACAATTCAGTGGCTTAATGATCACATTCCGGGCAATGACCCGGTTTATCACGCCTTCTGCCCCAATTTTCTTTTATTGTGCTAAAAAACTACCGTCACGCAACTTTTTTTCGTGGGGTATGGGCCAAAGTTATAAAAAAATAATTAAAGTTCTTAAGAAATTAAAAGATGGGATTTATAAAAAAAATAATAATCAATATTCTTCGTTTTTTTGATACCTTTATGAGGAAGTCGCTAATGGATATACAAAAAACTGCATTGTGATTTTTAATCAAATCCATTACGTATGATAGATGTTTTTTAACTCGGAATATTTGATTACCTGACTCTCTATATACGACACTAGCCATAGCTTTTTCTGTCAATCAAACATTTTGGATAATTTCAATTTTAAAACTAGTTTTCGAAAAAATTTGCGAATTAATTATTAGTCTAGTATAGAGCATAGAGTTGGTTTTTTCGATATTTACGATTATAACACGCTAAATTTAAGAAATTGTTGTAACAAAAACAATAAACATAAATACATTTTTGCTTTCGATAAATTTTACATTCATGCTATTTGGTTTTTTTTCTTTTAAACACGTAATCAGGTTAATTTCATTATATTGTTTTTATTGCCCGCTATGCTTAAGATATCGCTTATATGTACTAAATTACACCGATCAAAGATAAATTATCAAGTCAACTAAGCAACAAAGCAGAACTTGAGGGAAAAAGTGTTGAACCAAATACAAAATATGTTAATAATAAGTCTTTATTTACATAAACCGATAATGTCTGTTCACACCCGGTATTGAAGCTTTTGTAGTTCTATTAAAAAGGAATGAAAACGAATGTTTGAGTCATTCACCCGTTTAAAAGGAAATGTCTTTGTTTACTGAAGTATTTTAAGAACACTGAATAAAATTAAAACCTTAACAAAAATCGCTGTTCAGTTTGTTAAATGAAAAATTTTGCAAGGATTTGATTTATTTTAATGATCTGATTAATCCTATTGAATAATAAATGTGAAAGTTAATCCTATATTACGAATGTGAAAGTTTCTTTGTTTGGATTTTTGTCGGTCAATCACGCCGAAACTACTGAACGGATTTTGATGAAATTTGGTATACAGATAGGCATATACAGATAGGATAGGTATTAGCTGACTTAGATAATAGAATACTTTTTATCCCACTTAACATTTCCCTAGGGTCCACGCGGACGGAGCCGCTGGCGAAAGCTAGTTATCCATAAGGGAGGCATGAGAGCTGATGATGATGAATTATCTGATATAATAATTTCTTAAAATTTAACTTTTTTCAACTTCTTTTTTTCACTCTAATACTATTTTCTAACATGACACGAATTTTCAGTTGTACATACCTATAAGAGAATTGAAGTGAATGTAATACCTGTATTAAAGAGATATGCCCACAAAATAAAAAGGAATTATTAATTGATGTTCCGTTAAAAGAAATGCATAACACTCAATTACACAAACTTTCTTTAAGATTTAATGGTGAGTTTCAAATGAATATTCTAAATTTGAAAATTTGTACCGGTAATGTCGCAATAAACTAATGATAATTTCAATGGACGTATAGGCGATAGTAAAAAGCATCTTTACAATCACCATAATCATCAGCTCGCAGCAGTATTTCAATGTCCAAGGACACTGAAACAACTGATATGACAAAGATCCTTTATGCTCTTTTCAGAGGGAATGCATATCCGTCCACATTGGTCAAGCCGGCGTGCAAATCGGCAATGCCTGTTGGGAGCTCTACTGCTTGGAGCATGGCATCCAGCCGGACGGTCAGATGCCCTCCGACAAGACCCTGGGCGGCGGTGATGACTCTTTCAACACTTTCTTCTCGGAGACCGGCGCTGGGAAGCATGTGCCTAGAGCTGTCTTCGTGGACTTGGAACCTACTGTTGTCGGTGAGTTTTCAAATTAAATCTTAATAATATTTTCAAACTGATTTCGCAAGATTTATTGCCGTTTGTACATGTCAATTTATATGCGGACAGTAGACAGTAGATTGCGGATGCTGATTGGGTGTGGAAGTTGCTAGATATCACAGTTTCACGATATTATAAACGAAAAATTCCTGTACAACTGCTGATCAAATAAAGTCTAGAAATATTAAGGACATTCTTGAAACGATTATTGTAAAACAGTATTAAAAGTACACAATTCTATTAGAATTGAGAGCACGCTACATTTATGAAGGTTGTAATTGATCAGGTTGGGGTATTGAACCGTAGACTACACGAGCGGCAACTTACCACCCGTCATTATTGGACTAGTGTTTCGAGGCTGGACGTTGACCATTAAACTATTTGTAGTTCCGATAGATATCTGTAGGTGTGTTAATCTAGTCTATAATAAGCTTATTATTTTTGGAAACGTAACACAATAGCATCTACGTTGCTCATATTAGACACTAGACAAAATTATTTTAAATTTACTCTATGATTATTTCTGTAGCCTCGGCAAAAAAGGTCGATTACAATTATGCATAATTTTTTCCGCTATCAATTATTTATCATTCAAATTAGTAAAAAATTGTAGACATTTTTCCTGATGTAAACACAAAATTTTTATAAGGTTCCAAATAACTCTTATTAAAAAAAAAGTGTTTATTTTGCCACCGACTCGTTCAGTCATGATAATCTTTACATTCATAACTACTTTCATAAAAAAATATACATACTCCTTGAACATATAAAATCCTTCTTTTGGATGTTGAATGAATTTCAAATACGCAATCTTTTGTTTTCTTTTTTGCTGTGATAGATGAAATACAATACATCTATACTATAATAAAAACGTAACCGATCGATGTCTGTACATTGAAGATATATGAAAAAAAATGTTATGAGGGACATTTATAAGCGTAACAGAACACAAAATAATGATTTTTAAATTTTTTGTCTGTTTGTCTGTTTGTCTGTTTGTCTGTGCGTTTGTGCACGGTAATCTCAGAAACGGCTGAACCGATCGAAATGCAGTTTTCACTATTATATTGTGGTATTCTTCCGTTAACATTTAGAGTGAGATTTATTTCAATCGGTTCACAAATAAAAAAGTTATGTCAATTTGAAGTAACGTGGTCGCCAAAATTGCTATGAAATATTAACTGTTTTATTAAATTTTCGTCTTTGATATATTGATCATCATCATTAACTCTTTGACAGTCAAACTGCAGGGCCTCAGGCCTTTGTTTAATAATTTTTGGTCACCCATCCCGTGAACAACTCTTGCGAAAATTGCTTAGCAATATCGATCGTGCGCAGTGGCGCTTATCCGTAGCGCTACCCAGCTACGAATTAATATTGTCTATATAAAATGATAATTTGTATGATGAAAAATAAAAATAAAAAATAAAAAATTTTGATAACTCCAAAGTAAGTTGACCTCATTTATAAATGGCCAATGATATTAAATAGGGTTCAGGTTATAATGGAAGTGTGGTATACGATCACGCGAGTAGGAGAACAAGCGAAAAGACCCTTCCGATGATGCAATTAAGCATCGAGTAGTTTACAGTGAACGCATATTTTTATCAGATTAGGTTCACGTCGTCGTAGGGACTAGCGGAGGTGGTTGGCAGCCCCCGTATTGCACGGTTTCGTCCGTCTGAGAGAGGCACTCGATTTACCCGAGCCTATCCAATATTCCATCTGCAAGGGGACCAATGTCAAGTCCAATACTTGAGTGTTCTGGTGACGCGGCCATAGCTTGCCGGGTTTCATCTCCCATGAGACGGTGTCATCATCATCATCATCATCAGCCCTTTTACGTCCCCACTGCAGGGGCTCAGGCCTTCCTTATGGATGGTTAAGGAGGATGGGCCATGACCCTCCACGCTGGCCCAATGCGGATTGGAGGGTATTAACGACTGCAAATGCAACCGGGACCAACGGTTTAACGTGCCTTCCGAAGCATGGAGTAGCTCGAGATAATAATTTTTTGGTCACCCATCCCGTGACCAAAAAATTATTAAAAGTTGCTTAACGACAACGATCGCGGACCACGGCGCTAATCCACTACGCCACCGAGGGCAGTTCACTATCGGGTTCACGGAGGAGAATCCTACTCACCCCCTGTTGCTTGCCACGTAACAGAGACAATGTCAGAAGCTTTTCCACGACGTTAAAAAAGTTAGATTCACGTCAACTGAAGTTAAGAAGGTAAAGACTACTCGATTGATATATATATTTTTTGTCTTATTACAATTTTTTATGTAATAATAATACTACTTTTGTTTTTTTTAACATACAAATTTGCTGTAGATACGTACTTCAAAGTTAGTATATAGTTTCAGTCTTCGCCGGAAACAATGGTTTATTCATTTGTCACAACACATATAATATTACGCGAGTCTGAGGAGCGGTTCAGAGTAGCTCAGTGGTGTAGTGAATAAACGCCATGGCTCGCGATTGTAGTTGTTAAGCAACTTTCACAAAGGTCGGTCACAGAAAGGGTGACCAAAAAATATTATCTCAAGCAACTCCAAGCTTTGTAAGGCACGAAAAGCGATTGGTCCTGGTTGTATTTGCAGTCGTTGATATCCTCCAATTCGCATTAGGCCATCATGGAAGGTCGTGGCCCATCCTCCTTAATCCAAAACGCTCCTGCAGTTGGTGACGTAAAAGGGCTGATAATGATGATGAGGGCCGTTCAAATCTGGCGGAAGCTCAGTTAAGCACCTCTCGGAACTACGTGTTAGTAGACGATTTCCTTCGAGTGTGGAAAGTTGAAATTGAAATATGTATATATTTTTTTATATCATTAATAAATAAAACTCCACGTATCTTCCGTCAGACATGTACCGACTGACTTTTATTGACAAAGAAAGAGATTGGACGGAATGCATTCGGTCTAGGGAAACACCTGAATAACGCGAGGCATATTTAACTACCCATCGCGAGGCTCATGCACTATAAAGTTGAATCTGGAGCATTTAACGTCAGGGACATTCTCTTGAACTCTCGGAGAACTCATACAACAAGTGTTTGATCTCAGGAAACTTCTGTAGTTCGCATAGCGCGTCTAACTGCTAACCGTAACATACATGCAGTATGGTATGACTATGAAACTTCATTTTATAGAGAAATGCGCTTGGTCTCTGAAAGAGCTCGCAATTTGTGCAATAGAGATCGAGAAAGTAGTTTCGATTATCGCCAACCCGTGTTGCCTTCATACTCCACAGGCGTACCGCAGATAATTTTTCACAAGGTATAATGAACTAGCTGTTTTCCCGCAACTTTGCCGCAAAATTATAGCCTATGACATCCGTGATGCAGCTTCCCGTAGGTAGAATCTCTCTGAAACTATCGATCCAGTAGTTTTGGGGCAAATTCGATGGAAACAAACAAACAACCAAATCTTTCCCCTTTATAATATATCTTAGGTATAAGAGGTCCGATGGCGTAGTGGGTTAGCGCATTCGGTTTAAATTGCAGTTAAATAAACAAGGACATACTTGAATACTTATTTTACATAACTAAGTACAAACGACAAACTCATCGCTAGCAAGCGATTTCTTCCAGGCAATCTAGCATTACATGGAAAATAGAACAATAAATAGCTGATTTGCATTCAACTAGATAAATAATAATAATTTTAAATTATCAAAAACAAAAGAAGGACAGTTTCAAGGTACGAATAAAATTCTAAGACACAGGCGACAACCAGAGCGCGAGAAACGAGAAAAAAGATAGAACAATTACATTCGTAAGGACAGGATGGGTGACCAAAACATTATTATCTTGAGCACTGTGCACAGTACTGGCACAATGCACGTTAAGCTGTTAGTCCTGGCTGCATCAGGCCCATTGATCTTATTCGATTCGACTCCATTCATAGGAATAAAAGAATTCTACCAAAATACTTCCCACGCAGACGAAGTTGCGGGCACAGCTAGTATTAACTAAATATTTAGGTGATTTATGGTGAAAGCGCGTTTTTTGTTTTATAATAAAATTAAAACTATTGATTCGATTTCGATAAAATTTAATTGGGAATCCTCGCTCTATTAAGCTGTGGAATAAAAAAAGAACAATTGGGGGAAATATCGGGAATATACATAAAAAAAACATATCGCCGTAGAACATGTAACCTCCTTCTTTTGGATTTTGAAGTCGCTTAAAAGCAATTCATATGTAAAATAGACATGAAATAATGTATAGGTACTAGTAACTAGTAATTTGATTGAAGTAAACGATTTATAACGAACTGGATAATAGGCATTACGCTCGCGTGATTTACACTGATTTTGATAACATTAGTTTTTAAGGTTTAGTTTACTGTAATATCGAGAAATGTTCACTGTATAAAGATAAGAGTGAAATTCAGTGCTAAAAGCTCCTTTACAACACGATAAAATCATGTAATCACTCATTTGTTCGTGCACTCAACGCCCGTATACAAAAAGAATAGCGTAGAAACATGCCATCATTTGAAACTTCAACTCTTTCTTGGTTAACATATAGTTCATAATTCTGTAACGTTTGACTCTCATTAAAGGAATGCTCAAGAACTTCCTCTCCAATATTTTATTATCTTCGTAAGCGTTTTGGTTTCGTGCAATGAAACTTGAATGAAGGCAATTATGAAGCTCAAGTGGATACAGGCCCGTCTGCTTCTATACAGTTTGTTCATTTTACATTGCTAATTTTGCATAGCGTTATAAATCATAGGATGAGAAACCAGTCATGGGTATTCAAATTATTAGATTAGGTGCTTTGTTTTGGTATTTTACAAAGATAGAGATCAATAATTCGTAATTATATTAATTACGAGTATTTCTTAATTCCATTATTTGTAAGGTCTCCCTAAGATATAATAAATATCTTTAGTGAAACATATATGAATATTTCCTCAGTCAAAGTCGAGAAATTCTGCAAAAAATAACTAGTTTAATAGACCTTAGTAATTAGGCACATCGGTGATGCCGTGGGATTTGTTTCTTTTGATTAAATTGACGAACAACGGAAGATTAAGCATGTATTTAAGACGAGCTTTCCGCCCGCGGCTTCGCCCGAATGACCCCTAGTGAACTGATTATTTGGACATCGATTCATATCATGACATAGATATAATTATAATTACAAATTGAATAGTAAACAATGGTTACTAGAAGTTTTAATTTCCCATACAAACTTCCGCTCCCATTTTCATCCCTTTATTTGTTGTTTTTCGGGATAAAATATAGCCTATGTTCAATGCAAATGATGTAACTTCCCTTAAAGTGAAAGCATCTTCAAAATCGGTCTAGTTTCAGAGCTTATAATAATATCTTTCCTCTTTATAATATTAGTATAGTAAAGTTAGCTACATATTACTTAAACAATAATGTACACTAGTAGTTTTCATTTTGGTTATGTGATAGCTTTATTAAAAATCGCCACATAGAGGGGCAAAATATATTCTTTTGTAGATTGTAGATAACTCCAATAAAATTGTATTGGAGGCTGGAGGTCACTTAATATTTTAACTTGGAATACACCTTTGCTATGGAAATTAAAACTTGAAACATTTTGTTAATTGAATAATTGGCATAATTAAATCTTTATTGAAATATATTATACGTGAAAGCGTTATTGCCCGTATGATTATAGAGATATAAGTGTTATTACCTCACGAGTTTCCGAATTGGTTACGTATTGGAATGCTTTACGTTTTGAGAAATAGATAAGTTGAGTTTATTTGTATCTAAGATCTGTATAGACAATACAAAGTTGCGACCCAAACTGGAAGATAAAGATGTACATAGTTTTAAATAGGTACTTTAAAGAGAATCAACAACATCCAGCGTCAAATGATGGATCACGAAGGTAGCCATGGGAACTTTATTATTAAATGTCTCAACCCCTCCGAGTCTTCATTTTGAAGATTAGAAGTCAACACGTGAATATTTTACATTATGTAACTGAATGTTTATATTTATCTATTAATCTTTTAAAAAATATATAATTAAATCTCTGTTCCTAAGTGTAATATGTAAAGCTTTTAACAGGATATTCGTTGACACCGAGTAGGTACTACTTCTACGTTATTAAGATTGTATAAAGCTTTATTTTTGCAAGTAATTGTTGTGTATTACCTCTTTTTTCGTCGATTGATGAACTAATTTTTGTACAATCAAGCTATACGAAACTGTCAAATTTTCTCACTTTATTTTAAAACTTAATATATTGAAGGTACAGGTGAAAATCGATTACTTATATAAATTTGACATATTGTACTTACCTGAAATTCAGACATGCGCGTGTACCAAACTAGGTATCGGCTGATATGATACCCAAAACTGGCGATCAAAATCAAATAATACTTAAAAATGTATAAACGTACGTGTCCTATGGAACAGGAATAAAAGCTCAATAATGGATCCGTGTGGTGTAACTACGCGGATCCATTATTCGATTCGATTCTTTACTATGCCACTGAAGTGAGGACAGTAATGGCTGGGCTAGGTGATTTAATTTGATTTTTTTTAAGTTTGATTAATTTTTACAACAACAACAATCTGTTTACAGACGAAGTCCGCACCGGGACTTACCGTCAGCTGTTCCACCCTGAGCAGCTGATAACAGGCAAGGAAGACGCGGCGAACAACTACGCGCGCGGCCACTACACCATCGGTAAAGAGATAGTAGACGTTGTGCTGGACCGCATCAGGAAGCTTGCCGACCAGTGCACCGGTTTGCAGGTCAGTCAATCTAGGAAAAGTCGATGAACCTCGTTAGGTTATATACACGTCGACGGCCTATCAGAGTTCCGATAACAGGCGAATAAGCTTCGGCACCCACAGATACAAAATTATTGGCAAGCTTCCGCTATTATCCCGAATCAGAAGACTTCTTTCAATGCAGTCCATGATTTTGATTCAACAGCTACTCATTTTAGCCTAGTCTCTTAAAACGCTTGTTCACTCTTTTCTCCCCTGTGATTAATATACATACATAGTTAAGACATCATCATGCTATTCTATAAAGTTATAACAAGAGTAAATTTCTGCGAATTTGCAAAAACAAGTATTTATATTAGGTGCTATCTATAGATATGCTATATATTCTGTAATAACATCAACCTCGAACATAAGGCTGTCACAACAAAGAGCTTGAATGAAATAAAACCCATATTTGAAGTTGGTGGGTATGATATCTGGACTATAATTTCGCATATTTTGCCAGTCTACTAATTTCCAACGATCATTAGGGTTTCCTGGTGTTCCACTCGTTCGGAGGCGGTACTGGCTCCGGCTTCACCTCCCTGTTGATGGAACGCCTCTCTGTCGACTACGGAAAGAAGTCAAAGCTAGAGTTCTCCATTTACCCTGCACCTCAGGTAACAACCTATATTTGTTTTAATTAAACCTTTGTCAATCAGAAAGACTAGGGTTATTCCAAACAACAAAAATGCTGTGGGGTACAAAGGTATATGCTAAATCCGATTCGGGATTAAATTAGGTACTAGGTACATAAATGTGTTGAATAATTTGGTTACCTACTTCACCCTTTGTAAAGATCTTCTCAATATAATAACCTAATATCTTTAACAGTTCTGTATATCCAGGTCAAAAAGCAGACTAGCTTTCTTGTATACCACATTATGACAAATGGTTGTCTGGTAGAAATCGCTGTTAGCGATAAGACCGCTAATTGCTACACTATTGTGTTTTATTTAATTTGCATATTTCAAGTTTAAAACTTTAACTGTAAAATGGTGTGACAATAAAGTGTTATTATTATGACTTATATTAGTCGATGGGGTCGGCATATAAGATGTGAGCAATTTTGTTGGGCTCAATTCATTGGAAATGAGTCTGAATAGATCGCATCTACGGCTTCATAGATAGATAGATAGACCAATGTAATGGAGCATAAGTCATTAAAGTCTGAAATTAATAAAAAATATCTATGTAAGGTATCAACAGCGGTAGTAGAGCCATATAACTCCATCCTGACGACGCACACCACCCTGGAGCACTCCGACTGCGCTTTCATGGTGGACAACGAGGCCATCTATGACATTTGTCGCCGGAACCTTGACATCGAGAGACCCACGTATACCAACTTGAACAGGCTCATCGGACAGGTAACTTGCCACATGCCAATTATGTTTATGCTGTTTTATTTATTTTAGAAACAACATTACCTTATTTTATGCCTGCAGAATTCGTAATTGTAGTTAGATAGTGAGAAAAAGTAATGGTTTAGCTTTTACAAAATGGCCATGGGCGATTGGAAGTAGATATTGGTTGTATAGGGAAGTAGACATTCGTTATATAAATTTTCACCTAATAAACTTTTTAGCAATATTTACGAATAAATTTGAGAAGCCTGATTATCCTAGAATTGCAGGATGTTTGTTAAAGGTTGATGATTCTATGCATTAGTACAGAAGTCATATTCGGTAGGCTAACAGATTTGGAAAGACTGGCAGCATTAAAAAGATAATGTCAGAACAATCAAGTTCACTATTCTGCATTTAAAATATTACAAGCAATTAAACTTTATATATTAGTTCATAATTTTCAGATAGTGTCGTCGATCACCGCTTCGCTGCGGTTCGATGGTGCATTGAACGTGGACCTGACAGAGTTCCAGACCAACTTGGTGCCTTACCCGCGTATTCACTTCCCCCTGGCGACGTACGCGCCCGTCATCTCCGCAGAGAAAGCCTACCATGAGCAGCTCACCGTAGCGGAGATCACAAACGCTTGCTTCGAGCCCGCTAACCAGGTTAGATATAACATGTTATACCTTCAGCATACTATTTATCTATAGAAGCAAGAATAAATAAGACTGTACCTGATTTTTCTTAATGTATATTATTTAGGAAACAATTGGGTATTGTTGTCATATTATGACTTCAACATATAAATAATTTGTTTTAGATGGTGAAATGTGACCCTCGCCACGGTAAATACATGGCATGCTGCATGTTGTACAGGTAAGAACGAATAATTTATAATAATTTAATTGTAACAGTATGTATGATTATCATTTCAATTCTATATATATATTGAAATTTTCCTTGAGTAGTTTAGAAAATCATTTCTAAGCAGATAATCACGTCGTGTAAAAAATAAAAATGTAAGATTGAATGCCTAATAGTAGGTATTTGTCATTAGTTAGTGTAGTACCTACGGTTTTCGCTCAAAGTACAGCATTGACACACACATTCTTTTAAGTTAAGTAAATAAATAATAGTTCCTGATTCATCATATTTTACTATACAGAGGCGATGTGGTTCCTAAAGATGTGAATGCCGCTATCGCCACCATTAAGACTAAGAGGACCATCCAGTTCGTCGACTGGTGCCCCACAGGATTCAAGGTAAAGTTTATAAATCCAATTTAAGTTTTATGTAAAACTCTTAGAACATCACCACATCACCAGCCCTTTTACGTCCACACTGCAGGGGCTCAGGCCTTCCTTATGGATGGTTAACGAGGATGGGCCATGACCCTCCACGCTGGCCTAATGCGGATTGGAGGGTATAACCGACTGCAAATGCAGCCGGGACCAACGGCTTAACGTGCCTTCCGAAGCACGGAGTAGCTCGAGATAATAATTTTTTAGTCACCCATCCCGTGACTGACCCTTGCGAAAGTTGCTTAAAGACTACGATCGCGGACCGCGGCGCTTGTCCACTACGCCACCGAGCTCCTCGTGATACTACTAATGATACTATTCCGAAAACAAGACAAAAAATAATCTCCAGCTATAGGTTTTCATTTTTTTGTATTAAAGGATTTATGTTTATATTTTACATGTAATTCGATGTTTAGAATAATTTTTTTTAAACCAGAATCAAAATAAGTAGTACCTAGTAGAAAAAAAGATCAAATAAGCGCTTCACATTCACAAATGTTTGTAACCGGCCTATACTGAATAAATTAGGTTTGAGTTTGAATGTGACTGTGGTCAGGTGGGCATCAACTACCAGCCGCCGACGGTGGTGCCGGGCGGGGACTTGGCCAAGGTGCAGCGCGCCGTGTGCATGCTCTCCAACACCACAGCCATCGCCGAGGCCTGGGCCAGGTACCTATCCAACAATCACTTTGTGCTTAGGCTACGCTTCGATGCTTAGGCAAATGAATATAAGGCTGACTAAGCTTGAGAACTTGATTTAATAAAGGGTTAACAAAAAAAAACCCTCCACTTCGGGTTTGGCGAGTAATTTAACTCACCAAACCTTTAGAACATGACACTTGAAGGCCTATTATATTTCTAAGAAAAAGAAATTTGGTCTATTTTCTAATCGCTAAAACAACTCCAAAGAAACACATTTTTCGATAATTTATGATGGACCGGAGATAGGACCTGATACTGGCAACCGATACACAGATAAATCTCCATAGATATGATTTTAACAAAATTATAATTCGAAATATCTGAACTTTCGTTCGTGGACAAATAGAACACGTAAGGGTTATGTTTATTCGTACGAGTTATAATTCCGAACACTTCGTCTCTCTCACGTTCCTAACAAAACAGCGCCGTTGGAATGTCATGTCTTGCAAGCTAAACAAGGTTCTGTCCACATTTTTGGGTCAAGGTGTACACAACTATTACAAAATTGATATGGGAATTTTAAATTTAACATTGCCTAAATTTAAAACCCATATTAAGAATCGTCTCTTCAATAAAGGATATTATACTGTAAATGAATATTTAAACGACAAAACTGCTTGGTGTTAAATATGACTTATTTTTATGTATATTAAATTATTTATCGGTGACCTTGTTTGACTAGACATGTGATTCGATTGACAAGAATACTGTATTACTTTTATGTTTTCTAATATTATAATGGAAAGTGACTGAAAATGAAGTCATTTTCCAATCTTGACGCTATGTATGAAATAAAACCGAGAGAAAAAAGCAGCCCTTGCCGAGTTTCTTGCCGGTTCTTCTCGGTACAAGGTCTCCCGCCGTAGATTTACGAATAACAGCCTAGACTGAATAAACAATTTTGATTTGATCGATTGCAGCATAATTGATCAAAGAAGAAAATCTGCCTATCTATCTCTAAATATCTCATCAACAGGTTGGACCACAAATTCGACTTGATGTACGCGAAACGTGCTTTCGTTCACTGGTACGTCGGCGAGGGTATGGAGGAAGGGGAATTCTCGGAGGCTCGTGAAGACTTGGCGGCACTCGAGAAGGACTACGAAGAAGTGGGCGTCGATTCTACAGAGGGCGAACTGGACGAAGAAAACGAGTACTAAATACTAGTATTCAGTACTGAAACATATTACGTACGTAGTACTAAAGTACTAATATAATGTAAAAAACTAAGTATCAGTACTATGATAGTACTGAGTACTATATGAGTACGCAGCACTACGAGAGTAACCTGTTAAGTACTAAGCTATATGCTTGTAACTAATATCGTCATCTAGCCTTAAAAATTATAGGGCGTGACCAGATTTTGGTCGTTTTAAATTTTACGATTAACTGTATTTTGATAAAACGTAGTTGGCAACGGTAAAAGCTTTGCCTTTATTCAACATTTTAAAGATTGTGAAGGGTAAAATAAAAAGTCCCAAATAGCCTTGATGTCCCAAATGGCCAAAACGGGACCAGTGGCCAAAACCAGGTCATCCGCTCGATCAAATTTTTTTTATTGTAATCTGATAGATTCCATTAATTAATTACACGTTTGAATACTTTGTCAATTTTATACATTCAGCATTCGATTGACTTTATTCGGTAAAATCTGTTATTATTAAGTAATTTTAAGTGAAAGTGAGCTCGAGCGTAAGGTCGCTAACAGTACAAACTTTTGAGAAATTAACTTTCATAATAATGAAATGTAAAGTTTGGACATCTGTAACGTTTGTTTGCTAGTTAATTGATTTAATGCATTTATTAATTTAGAAAATCGTGATAGTAATCTAACAACCGTTTTAATCGAATTAAAAGCTAGTTTATATTCCACGATGACACATAATAAGTCAACTTATTAAGACAAATAATTGTATGCTTCTTAATTTTAAGATATTTTATACGATTGAAAATAATTTATTCCATAATGCACAATAAATTTTTACACATTAATTGTTATTTTTATTTTTTTGGAAAAAACAAATCTACCTCCAAGCACAGATCAGCACGCTTAGCATGACAAACTCGAGAAACGCTTTGTCTACACCCAATTGTCACTTTCTCGGGTCGAGAGTGAGATATAGTATGGGCGCACCCGAGAAAAGTGACATTTGAGTGTAGACAAAACGTTCCCGAGTTCGTCATGCTACGCGTGCTGGAAGCATAGGTAAGAATTAAGTTCAAGGCCTTCTCAAAGTTGTCGAGTTTTTTATTAACATACCTTTTAACGAAGTAATCCTCCTCCAACGGAATCTCTGAAACGAACTCCAAGATTTTCATAGAATTTAATATGCGGGTGTTTCGGAACCGACAGATCGTACAAGCTAGGTTTCATTTACCAAAAATATAAAATAACGAACTGAGCTTGGTCATCCAGGTATTTGTTTATACACAAAATATTAAAAATGAATAACAATAAAATACATCAATTCAAAAAAGCATCTTTTATTGGTATAAAAGTTCATTCTTACAGAATATAATAAAAATAAATTTACTTTAAAATAAATAAAAATAATATACGTGTATATTTACATTATCTTATTTTCATCTCACAGATGCGACATCAAATTCCTATAAATTTTTAACAAGGAACTCTTTATGATACACATTCAAACGGGTATAAATACCACATAACTCTACTTATATTTATAATAAAAGCTGATCAATTTCCTTAGCGAGATCTAGCTAAAGAAACTTCTTAACGAATATAATATTAAAAAGTAAATACACATTCGGTACTACGTCATTGTGTAATTTTATTAGTCTTTACAATTAATTTAACAAATGAAACATGTTTCTTAATACGGGAATGACAGTATTCATTATCATTAATATTTCAAAAATTCCACACAAAGCGGAAGAATTATACAATTTGGTTGAGACATAATACAGCAAAAATTGTAATTAGTGAACAAATTTTATTATTGTACTAATTAAATAATAAAGAAAATATGGATGAATATATATTACGAGTAAATTAATAATATGTATTTTTTACTCAGTCAATATGTTCTGAATACACACAAATTCTCCAAAATTACAAAATTAATGTGTTTTTATTACAATTCAAATGTGGTACGTTATTTCATTATTTTTAGCGAAACAATACATAGGTATATGATGGCAGTGGCCTTATTTGACGTTTGATTTATTTATTCATGAAGTCACTTAAAAAATATCATATTAATTTCTGTAATTTATGCACAGAAATTTTGCAACTAGGCAAAAGGTTTAAATCTTGTAGCTGATGTGTACACAGCTGTCGTCAGGTTACCCACTACATATAAAATGTATTCATTTTAGTAAAGGTAAAGGTTTAAAATCAAATGGAGATATCTGACAGTTTTGGTATAATTTTGACGTCATGTTCACTGTACATAAGCCTGTATTAGATTCATAAAAATTGCTAAAAATTCGCTGAATTTTACTTTTTTTTTCAATTTTCAAATTTTATAGTCAGGGGTGTAAAAGTATAAAATTCTACAACAATTGAATGATTTTGCTTAAAAAAAGAGGAAAAAAAATATTTTTTTAAAATACTCAAGCATTATTGCAACCTATTATTAATTGATTCAATAAATCTTTATAAATTATATAATTTGCTATAACAATAGTTTACTTTCTTCAAAGGGACAAGTATCAAATTTAACCGTATGTTTGACGACAACTCATTGTCCAGCAGTTATGGCTCATTTTCATTGATCGATAAGACCGTTAGAATTAATTTAAATTCTGAGTATTCTACTATGACTGGTAACTGAAAATAAAGAGCTTAGTATTATTATTAACAGTATTATTTCATACTCATACGGTCAGTTGCACAAACATCCATTAAGGTTTGTTGACGCCTTTAAGCTCTAATGATTGTCAAATTTGTATGGGTAATGTCACTTTAAAGTAATGAAAATTTTAATGATTGTGTATGCAACTGGCTGTTTGTGATTTGTAATCAAAAATATAAAGATATATAATACAACGGTGCTGTATATTATTATATTGAAATTTTGTTTGTCTTATTTATTCACAAAATTGAAAATGCAGTTTGATAGAATTGAAATTAAATTTAGTTTGGTCTGTGCAATAGAATAGATACCATTAAACGACCAGTGACAAAGAGGGCCAAATATCATATCAGCCACATTAAGCGTGCAAACCATATCATCATCATCATATCAGCCGAGAGACGCCATATATAGATCATTATAAATGATCCATTAGAGTTTTGCACGTTATCAGAGTAATAGTTAATTATATGGTTGTTAAAATGAGACCCAATAAAATTAAGGTAATGTAACGTCCGTGCACATTACTATAGGTAGGTTTACTCTCCGGATGATTTATGGTCAATGATTTGATATTTGCCAATAAAATCGAGAGTTTGAAGAATTACACCCACGATTTCATTGAGAAACCCTGAGCTACTGCTGATCCCGCCATTAGAGTACAATTGTAGTAATCCCGTAAATAATTATTGCTATGCTGCCCTTTCTCCCCCCTCCTCCCCCTGCCCCGCTAGCACGTAACGTTCACGCGGCGTGCGCGTGCGCAAGCTCGGCAGCGGCGCGCGGGAACCAGCCGCGGGGGCCGCGCTCCCCCCCACCCTCAATAACACGCTCACCGAACAGCCAATGTCTACGCGACAAATGTATATTAACCGTTATTTTAATATTCGATAGCTTATGAATAATCACAATTATATTAACAGCGAGTAAGACCACCATAGAAGATAGGAAATTGACAATGAAAGACAAGGGGATTCAATCATCCGATCACTCTTCCTATAATATCTTATTGTTGTTATTGAATTATACAAATGTCAAATTTTTACAACGTTTTGTATTTTATTCTACATGCAGAAGTGGTCCTTCGAGCCGGATGTGTACCAAGAATAGGGATGATGACAATTTTTTTATGTCCGTCCATCGGATAGAATAAATGAGTAATATCAATGTTTTTTTTAATTTAATATATTATTTATTTTTTACATTAAGTGGAAATATCGCATGATATCACACATTTTCTACATGCTGTGACGTAGTAACCCCCACGCCCTAACTTTAATGCCTAATAGCTGAGCCATTTTTTGTTTAATTGACAGTAAAATATACGCCTCTTTTATTTTTCTGATAGACTAAATAGATTTTTTTTTATTTACCCAGGCATCATACCTACTTAAAAAATCGCAAACAACCCTTACGTTAACCAAAACTAACATAATATAACCCATCAAATTGCTTGATATGCATCCTCTTCATAATAGTTAGCATATACAACATGAATGGTGGAAAATACCGTCTCTCTCTCTAGGCTAATAGATAAGAGCTTAGGTGGACAAACTCATTCCTCCCCGCTCCTATAGTGTACGAATTACTAAATTCAGTTGATAAAAACAAAGCTACAGAATAAAAATCATACCTTCGTTGCCTGGTGACTCTTACAACATCGCCAGGTGTGAGTACGAGACGATGTTCATCAGTACACGGCACGTTGACAGCCGCCTTCGGATACCGGAACAGCGGCACCCACCATCCGGAGTACGGCTCCGTAATCCGATACAACCGGGAACGGAGACGCTTGTCTAGTTTTTGCGCTTGTTGCTCACGCTGAGGGTAATTGGGAATAATAATGTTGAAATATTGGATTGGCATTATAAAAACAGCGAGAAAAACAGTTTTTCCTTAATTTATCACTATTTAGTTACAGAGCTTCATGTTTAGATACAAATCCATGGCATATGGGGCGAATGCACCGTTTGACTATCGCTTTCATTATTTTTATATGTGTGTGATTTAATCATTCAACTATATCTAATAAATTTATTATTTACTTAATAAAAAAAAAACTTTTAATGTACCATGAAAGAACTGGAGTGTGTAAGTGAATGAAAAAATTGTACCATGAAAGAAGAGTGTGTGAGTGAGTACATAGGTATGTTTATAATTTTTAATATTTTAACAGTATAGTGTTTACTTAAAAAATATCCCTCTATTTCTGCTCTGTGTCTTGACTAAGTTATTAAGTGACTCACCGTGAGATCGTACTGTCCGCAGTCGGGTCTGACGGGCCAGTACATGGTGTGGGAGGGACGTAAGACAGCTTGTAGATTCTGCCGCCAGCCCATATCGTAAGGAAACACAAACGGTGGCAGCCCTTGCTCCACGCGCCTCGCCGCCGCCTTCTCCACTATCCACTCTTCGATGGTCGTCCGGTTGCGGAGGATGCCGCTTACCTGATCGCGATAACTCTTTATATTACAGCATATAAATCTACAGTCAATAGCATGGTAGCACAGGTAGCTACCATACAAAAATGTCAAAATTATCTTATTCGTTTTCATTTATTTAATAAGGCAATTTTCATTTATAAAAATTGAATCTTCTAAAAGTATAGCAAATTTATGATTGGCTAGATATCCATATGCTCTAATCTAATCATTGTTTTCTGCCTACCTGGAAATAAAGTAGCGCTCCAACAGCAAGCACGACGCCGACAGCCATGCCAATGGCTAATAACGTGAGCAGCAACGTACCCAGCGGCATGAGTAGACGCGCGCCTCCTGGACTGAAGCGCGTCCTCGTGATTGCGTAGTACATGCATATCGACAGCTCCTTTCAAAACCAAACCATATTAAAATTAATATCAACATAACACATGTGGGATTAGACCGTCCTGGAATTATAATAGTCTTAAATCACAAAAACTTTAATAAACAGCTTTCTATACAAGTGCATACATAAGTGACTGGAAACTCAAACTGCAATAGATGCAGTATAGTATTTTCAATTATACATAAACTGCATACAATTAAAAATAGTGCAAATACTCATAAACACTGTCTTTTTTCTGTTACTATGCAAATGTTTGGACTAAGATTTAGTTCAAGTTTCAAATTAATGTAAAAATTACACATAAATTAATTGTACATAAATGTTAATAAAAATTACCACAGAAGCAATGGAACATCCAATAACTGCACATATCAGGAAAGTTGTGAAATAGCAGTGGTTAGCTTGACCCACACAACAGTTGATCCAAGGACAGTGGTGGTCCATTTTAAGTATACAGTGACCACCTAGAATAACATTTCCATATAATTCATTACAATAAATAAACATTAGTAAATATGAAATCATGCCTAAACATAAAGTCTTTAAAATGTCTTTCTTCTATATATTTGAAATTAACATACAATAGAATAACCATGTATCACGCTGTATCCTTGTGACATAGGCAATTATTGAATTGAATACAGGAATTTGATTGACATGAAGGGCCACTGACCATACTGTTGGCATGGCAATAATGTAACTATAAACATGTATAAGATTTTAAAATTAAACAAAAGATTACAATATACTTTCAACAATAACTAAATTGGGGAAAAATACAAAGTACTCAAAATCTCCTTAACTCACATTTCTTGCAATGATGAGATCTAGGTGCCTTATAACTGTTGCATATTGTGCAGAACTGTAAGTACTCTATGTCTCCCTCATTCTCCTTGAAACATAATTTAAAAAAAAATGAGATTGTTTATTCATCTGAATAGTTTATATATAAATTTTGCTTCCTGAAAATTATTTATTTAAGATTTTAACAGTAAAGCAATTAAGTGATGTTATACATACTGGTTTCCAACCAACAGGAACGAACCCTGGTCCTTCAAGTAAAGATTGTAGAAAATAGTACAATGTAGCAGCAGCAAATGCTAAAAATATTACAGCATTAATAGCACCCCCTACAGATGCATGTGGCGGCCACCATATTCCTAAGAAATGTACCATAGCCCAGGTTATAAGTTTTATGATACCTGAAAATAGTAAACAATATGACATATTGTATACAATATATCTAATAATAGTTTGTAAAAGGTTGTACTAAAGGATTTAAAATATAGGTACCTAAAACGGAGATTGGACCCCAGTGACATAGTCTCCGTATTGGTGTTGATAGCATCTTGATAAGCGAAAAAACTTGATTAGTTAACCAAGACCATAATTAGATACAATTAAATATTCGCAAAAACGCCTTTTCCTGTCATGATTACCAAAATCTATCGCATTCTTCGACAATTTTTCTTATTCAAAAACTCAACTGACTTGACAGTCGACTGACCGCTGACTGAGCTGTCAAGTCGTGGTCTTCTTCTTTTTTAATTAATGGCTTATATGCGCATTTCGCACAATTTTGCCAATTATAAATTAATTAATTATTACATGTAGAATGAAAATGAAATGTATAAAAAACCAAGTCTTAGTCAAGTCATAGTCGATTGACGGCTGACTGTCAAGTCAGTTTGACTTTAACACATTTTGTCTTTGACACATTGGCAGGACTTGATGAACGTCTAGTGCTCTTAAATCTATGATGTAGTGTGAATCAGTTGAACTGCTTATAATAATCGGTATATTATATCTAGATATCGGTATATGATATAAAATATAATTAAATTCAATTATTTACCAAAAAGCAAAGTAACCATTCAAAAACAGTCCACACACATTTAAATACAGCATATGTTCACACTTGATTTGCTGAATAAACGTTATTATTATTATTAAATATGACTTTACTATCTATAGTCCCTGACGTCAAATGCCTCGGTTCGCAACGAGGAAATACTTAAAAAAGTTAGTTCATTATGAAAGCAAATTAGATGCCACTAGCGATTTTCAGGTAACGACTGTTAGGGCGTTTGTGCACTACACTGAATTTTCAGGTCCGGCAATCCGATTTTTTCCGATCTGGAATAACATGAAAAACCCGCATGAGTAGCTTGTGCACACGTCCGTTTTTTTCCGGATCGGAGCGGCGCAGTTTAGATCAGCTCTCTTTGAAACTACGGGTCACTTCGCTAGGTACGATGAGATTTTTAGGACGTCGATAATTGCTTGCTTTATTACTTTACGTGTGTAGGACGTAGAAGACAGAAACAAAAATATTGGTTTCATCCCCTTATAAGTGAAAGATACCCTTGGGTAGATTTGATTGGTAAAATTTGAATGGGCCCCAACTGTGAGTCGTTCCTGTTCTGCATTAGAATTTATGATTTGTTTTATGTGTGTATCGATTATAAAACTATTTCAATTGTGTAGTTATTTAGTATGACTAAACAGAATTCTAAAGTACTGGGCTTGTTTCTTTCCTTTTATTTTTTATTTAAGTTATTTTTTTCATATATTTTTTTAAAATTCGCTTTTACGCAGTCGGGTTTTTTTTACTACTATCAGATGTAAAAACTTATACCCTTACTTTGGCAGCATTAGGGACAGCATTATTCACATACAATAGCTAAAAATATCTGGGACATTTAAATAAAATTACTGATGATGTTCTAGTACTTGATGTTTAAATTTGTTGTCGTGTAATTTTTCGTCAAAGTTTTGTAAAAACAACTTCAAGCGATTACAGACATAGACCAGTCGTTGACGCCATTTCGTAAACAAATTAGTGACGTGTAAGCGGATAATTAATATGCTAATTGAACTTTACGGTGGCATTTAATTCAGCCATCTCATTGTAAGTTTTAAATGTCATGATTTAACTATAATCATTGTATGATCAGTTGGCTATTGTATATACAGGCAGTCCTCGTACTTACGGCATGTTAGGTTCTCGAAATATGTGACGTAAAGCGAAACGACGTAAGTCAAAACATATTTTTTCATATGTTTACATGTAAAACTCAAGGGTTAGGATCCACACGGACTCAAAAAAAAAACAAAAAACTACATTTATAACAAAGTATATAGATACGTTATTATCAAAAGGAAGTAATTAAACTTAAAATAATTAAAAATGTTCTTATGAAAATGCTAGTATTTTTGGTATTTCAATAACTTTAATAATAAAAATATGCAATGAGAAATAATAAATTAAATTTTTGACTTAAAGAAACTATTAATTCTCGATTGCTTCGCTTCTTTATTCTTGCTATCATACAGGTCTTGGTAGCACTGATAGGCTGCACAAATTTTGTTATTAACATTAAAACCTCACGGACATTGACCGCGCGACAAGTGAATTCTCCAATGCCGGAAATCGAAACAATTGACGTATGCTTGAGGAGCAGTGTCAAAACATTGTTTGACGTAACTTGAAAGGACGTAGATCGAAACGACGTAAGTCTCCTCGACTTACGTCTAACTGTATACTTTTGGCCGCTATTTTATACGTGTGGTATTGTTTTTTTGAGCAGAATTATGTTTCTTTTAGAATACTTGTGTTGTCAAATATTTATTTATACTTATCAATTGCCTAAAAGAAATTTCAATATTGACAAATTTCCATGCAACCTTTCATTCCCTATTTCCACCTTTTTTTCGCGATAAAAGGTAGCCTATATCTTTTCTCAAGGTTAAGTAGATTCCTGTATCAAAGGTTCATTTGTTTAAGCGTGGAAGCGTACCAACACTTATTTGTCTTACCTTCAATTATCGATACTTATGATTCGATATTGTTTTGGAATCGATACTTTTAATATGAGTCTAGAATCTAGCAAAAAGTCGATACTAGAACCATAGCATTATTTATTAGAATTAGAACTATATCGACTTAACCAAGGCATATGCAGTGATATTTACTAACTATATTAATTCTACATACAAAGTATCGAATTATATACTCTACAATAAATATCGATTATCAATATATCGTAACATACAATAGCACCGAAATAAATATTTTTGCATTATTTATACTCCCTTTCTCATTTGCCTTACTTCTCGCTACATACTCAGTCTTTGCGTATATTTCATTCTCTTTACCTCGCCTCAAATAAGGGGTACCTCGCGAGTGCCTCCTCCTGAAGTAATAAGTCCTCACTCATACTCAATAAAAAGGTGTGAGTTACACAACCTTACACCTTATTAACTGTTAATTCATCGGGAATACCGAAATTTATAGGTAGGGTTTTTAAACTTAAACACTCCTTGTTACGGGTTATAATCGATACAGATACAGGATTGATCAAAAAGACATTAACAAACTGCTTATTCGCGACTTCAGTGTTAATGGTCTAATACAGGAAACTAATATACACACCCATTATGCAATTCGATTTCTAGTATGATGTAGCTACCCGTAGGTGAAAGAACTTTTAAAATATGTCTAGTAGTTTCCGAGCCTATTTGATGCAAACATACAAACAATCAAATCTTTCCTCTTTATAATATTAGTAATAGACGCAAACATCTACCAAACATCAAAAAATATATTTCGTTTTCTGGCAATTTTGTTGCCTTTGTTTTTTTTTAATATGACAACCCTCGTTACCACGTCACTCTGTGGGCAGTTGTCACATTGCGATATTTTTGTGGCTCTTTTTAGGGTGTGTGCATTCTTTATATGTGTTGTGCTACTTATGTGGATAATTAGGTGATATTTCTCTTATAACGGGTAAGTTTTTATATAATATAAAGATATTTTCAACTATCCTGAAGATAAGTCTCGTATCATTTGACTGCTCCCTCCGATTTCTACCCATCATTTTTTAGTGTTCAGAAGTTGCCCGCCGGTGACTATGATCTTATTGTAACTGATTGGTAACAATTGTGTTTCGTCCAGAGATCCATATTTACCTTCGACACACTATCGCCCCTAAATAAGATTACTGTTTTCTACAATTTCACATTTTATGTCACGAGGTTCAAAAATTTCTGAACCGACACTAGTTCATACATAATTGTAAATTTTTTCACGAGTAAGTTTTATATTGGTTTCAGATAGTTATCCTGAACCGTCAATATGCCGAAATCAGTGAGTATTAAATAGTTGTTTATTTATTTTATTTATATTCAACTTGTAATAGTAGCGCGCGTCTATTGGGATAGACAGAATGCATTTGATCGTGCCTGCGTCATTTTGCTGATTTCACCTTTGCAATGTGATCAGACAACATAGTCGTGAAAACCCCATAAAAATACACAAACTTTTATTGAAATAACAATTGACCTAGGGTGCAGGCTGTTTAAAAGTAAAAGTGTATAAATATCTATGTTGTAACATCATGGTATAGTGGGTTATCATAAGATAAGATCCAGAAGTTGATAATATGTTGTCAGCTATACCTATTCTTTTTAAATATTTGTAGTACTATAAAACTTGTAAAAAAACTATAACTTGGTTCTGACCTACACATTATTGGTATTGATTGATAATGTTATTGCTACACTTCCTTTTCATATCATTAGTCACAATTTTGTGTCATAGTTTTGTGTTGTAAGAATGAAAAAAGGTTGACTATTGAAAGACTAATGTATAAAAAAGTGGAATTCCATTCAAGATATATAATTTGTCTCTCATAAAATAATGTTTTTATTGCAGATATTAAATTACATTACCCATGCACTTGATATTAACTCAAGTAACAATGAGTCGGTTAGTTATTTGGACTTTTGGCAATGTGTTTGATTTTATCAGTGGCTACTTTATTGTGTTGTTGTGATTTAGGTGATTTGAGCATGTATTTTTCTGCTAGTTGGTTTTTTTTATCTATAGTTTGATGTGTCATATCGAATTACAGTGTTTAGAAATGGTGTTGCATGAAACTTTTAAAAATATTCAATTATCTTAAACCAATGAATTCATATTGAATTCTTATATTTTCATGCGCACTATCCATAAATTAAACAACTTAAAAACAGTTTAAAAGTTGGTTCATTTACTAATTGATTCAGTTTTACAGTCTCTTTTGAATTTAATTATGGAGTTGAAAATTACATTTTATATGTTTTTCCAAAATCAGGTTATATTTTCAGATAAACAGGTTTCAAATATTCCAATTAAGTATGGTATTTAGATTAGTAAATTATACTTACTTTTGCTTGAATCAATCAAACTAGTTGCTAAGTTGCTCCACATGTTTGGATTTTGTGTTCATTTTTGTTTTACTTAACTTTCGTGATTTGGCGAGCTTGTTATTTTTTGTGCTAATTTCTTAATTTTAGCATACCTTTGTATTTATTGTGTTTTTTTTTATAATTATTATTCTTAGCCAATGACCATGAAAGTTTTAATTAATTAAATAACACATTGAATTAATTCTGCTATTAAGTATAAGTCTAATGCGTACCACATTTATTTTTCAAATAAAGATGGATTTGTAAAAAGAATAAAAAATCATCAATTAAAGACTTAAAAAGCCCATCTGTTTATGCAGTATGAGGTAGTGAATTTGCACGAGTCATAGTAGTTCCGATAACTGGTTGTCCGTTTGATTAATATTCACATAATCAAAGCTATGCTGTATCCAAAATATGTGTGTGACTCGCATTCAGTTGCAATGTGTCAACATTTCTTAGATCACAGGTTCGTTTCAGGTCTGGGTTTTGTAATAGGTACATACATTTTTTGTTAGCCAGTTACCAACTGAGAGATATATGTGCTATAGTCTAATATTTGTGAATTGTGTTTATTTATATTCCTAGATACTAGATAAGTACAAAAGATTGTGCCCTTCTATACAAGTGCAAATTGGATAAGGGCTTTAGATGTAAAATGACAAGTGTGTCACAGGAAGGAAGCAGGAAAGTAGGCCGTCTATTCATTATCTGGTTACTGGGCAGTGCACTTGTATACCACCTGTATAGTGATACTAATCAATCACTACAAGTTGTTAGGGTTAAGTTGTTTAAGTAAATGAATGTTAGTATGATTGCAAACTTGAGTAAATGGGATGCATTATGGATCACCATAATGCCTCCCATTCACATAAAAAAATGCATCATGATGTTGGTTCAGATCTTAATAAAGTAAATTTATACCCACACAATATTCTTGTAGGCTAACAAGCTAAAGCTATCTGTACATTAAAAAGTTTTAATCACTAATAATTTATTTTTAACCAAGTTTAATTTATTGAAAATGTAATTGTTAACAAAGAATTTATTATTTTTTGATAATTCTAAATAAGTAAAAACATTATTAATTCAAAGTTCAAATCTGTAATAATTATGTTATCAATTTAATTTATTAAGTATTTGTAATAATTGTGATTACGGGATTGAAGATATTAATGACTTATTTTTTGATTAATGATTTGACTTTACCTGATTTGAAAATGTGGTGCCTCTTATTCAAAATTGACTCTTATTCGAAATAAAAGAATAATAGATGTAATTTTTATAATCTTCAATTATGTACTGTCCAAGCTGTTGCACGAGTGTTTTTGTGTACGGATCACGATTTAATTTAGCAGACGACGCAAAGTATACGTATAAGTAAAAAAAAGATAGCGAAACCGAAGGCTCGGTGCGCGCGCGCCGGCGGCGCCTCGGCCTTGAGCACGGGGCGCATCCCCGCGGCCGCGACCGTTCAGTTCAAACTCTACCGCCGCGTCCGGCAGACGCGGCTTCGGTGCCGTCAACCCTTCACCCTTACATAACCCAGTGTTGTGCTCCCTGTGCGTGTGACCCTTGAACCAATCAAAATGGTTGCCGGTGGAAAACAGGTATATTACGTAACCGACTGTCTTATTTGTACTCGGGTTTCAGTGAGATCAGCATTTGCTATTCGAATGTCTATTGGTTTTAGTTTAAAGTCCTATAAAAAGTTTGCTGGTTGATAATATTTTCCCAATAACTGTAAACCTTATCAGTATGTCTGAATACAATATTACCTGCACTGCAGCCTACCTAGCAACAGGTATCCGTCTAACGCAACCACGTCGTCAACCGAATAAATTACTTGTACAAGTTTTTAGTGCTGTTGACTTAAATCATAAGTCTCGGTGATGTCATCGCAGCGCACATCCAAGCTGGTCTCGCTTCTTAGTTTATTATTTATTTTGCATGGTTCCAACGGCCGTAACGTCTTTCGGATGCCCTTCTCTATTTTTCCCGTCCATAAGAGCGAGACCGACATAATTTCCTGTTTCACCGACGCAGGGGTCTGTCACTTTTGCTTTCGAATCGAGCCAAATTACAAAATACTCCCTTCATCATATTTCTTTTAATACATATCATAATCCTATCTGTAGATAAATATAGTATTACACCACTTATCATAAACGTGATACAAAAAATAATTATGACAATGTTGTTATCTTAATGGTATTTGCTTAGGATAAGTTGAGTCTAGAATAAAACTTTTTTGAATAATTCGAAAGTCATCAAAATGCCAAGTACTATCGTTTACCGCGACGATAATTGTGCAATAACTGAAATTGTCACTTACCTACACAGGTCATAATTGTTAGTGTATACAGTTTTCCTGCGGTTAAGCGATGACTTCGACTATTCCATTTAATATGCTGTTTTCCTGTACCTTCGTTATCCTTAATCTTTTTGCAGTCTTCACAATTGTGGTTATTTAGTCAACAGATGTCTGTTTCGATATCTAAATAATAAAAAAGTCCATCTATAAAAATGTATGTCTTAAGTAAGTTTATAAGTATAAATTCACGCCATAATCTTACCTCAAAAATGGTTAGCAAACCTTTTAGAACATTTGATTTTTAATTATAGTCTTTGAAAATTATATCTTAATACGTGCTTTCAGATGGCATATTAGCATCATTCCCATAATTAATATGGTCCTAAGGACCAAGTGCTTTTATTACGGCTTGCAATAAAAGCACTTGTTCCGTACTTCTTCAGTATGGCAAAGTTTTAATCCATCCACCTGTAATTTTATTGTATCTTTAGTATAATAGAACTTTTTAACAATATTCATATTCTTTTTTGGAATTTGGATTGATATTTTCTAATCACAAATCTGTTGTCTCCTCTAGTTTGCAGGCTTCACTTAAGCTTTGTACAATATCATCGATCCAGCGATTGCAGTATGCATGTCACTCATCCAAGATAGTGCATGACATTGCGCGGCACTCGTACTTGGCATTAATTTGACGGTCGATATGCTCTGTGCCCATCTAGCGCCGTTTCACTTCGTTTCACTCACACATAGCGATTTCTAACAACAGTTGGGCAAATTTCTTTTTCTATCAGCACTTTGAGTTTGTCAGGTTTTACTTTTTAAGATGCTCTTGACCGAGTTGTTTCTCGCCTCTGTGTGCTGGAAGGTTGTCTCGCTTTCTTCTATGTTATGATTGTTTCATATGTGAAACAACTCACATTTTTGTATTTTTATCATAGTAAAATGTTTAAAAAACGTCGCTAGACCCCTAGGCATCTATATAGAATTGTTTACAGTTTTTCTTTATGATAATTAAGTATCAATTTAGCATTGTGAATGCAAAAATTGGTCAAATATAATAACTTTGTAAATGGATAAAGAGTTTTTACGCCGTGTTTCGTCGTAGTTGATACGTTTAGACCTCGGCTTGGGGTGAGTTCGACACACGTGTCGGTATCACCTGTCATCTTACACCTGCGCGGCAGTTGCATAGAACCATCAATTTTCAAACGAGATCCTAACGTTGAGTTCTTCTTGTATTAACATCGGGAGGAAATTATAATTCGAGTATTTTAGGGGATTATTTGCTAGCTTTCCGCCAGCGGCTTCGTCCGCTTGGTTTTGTCCTTTTTGAGACATTTTTCAATGCTTCTCCATTGCTTTTATTTATGGATTCCTTATTAAATGGACTATTCAACACTTAAAATATTTCTTCAATTCGAACCTGTAGATCTTTAGATTAACCAAACAAACAAGCTCTTCAGCTTTATAATATTAGGATAGATTTCAATTTAGGTATTGTTATTTATGTAGTATTTGACAATTCATTGTCAATTCTATTCCCTATAAGAATGTCTCTTGAAAGATGATGCACATTATTGTACATGAGTATAAATTCATTTTCTTATAATGCTAAATGCTACCTACCTATTTGGTGTATACAGTACGGATTGGTCGAATTTGAAAAAAAAACCGGAATATTTGTCTTGTCAATTTTAACCCTGAAAGGGTTAGTAATTTATAGTTCTAAAATTTAAAATAACTTTATGTGATGTGTGCACATACTTTGTTGGTAGTGACGTTAAAACTTGTTATTTCATAAGGTGTTTCAAACTCTAACAATCCAATAATAGTTCATAGAAGTTCAGTTATAAATCACAGCCTCAGATAGGTACTGTACAAGAAAATAATCACGTAATTGTTTCACCTCAACCTTGGACGCTTGCACTTCATCACTCTGCTTCCGGCTCGTCAAAGCAATTGTATCCTATTTAGGTATATGCATTATGTACACATCATCTATACTACATTTATTTATTTATTACCATGCCGACAAAGCCGCTGACAGAATACTAGTTCATCATATACATGAGCATCTATCTGCGTAACTTATATAATTCTTGATTTCTATTTCGTTTTGTGATCTTTCGTTTATTAATGCACAATATATGCAGTGCATTGAATTAAAATAGAACAGCCTTAATCTATACTAAATTATCTATTGATAATATAATAAAACCTCGTACTTCTTTTTAATTTTCGTTTAAGTTAGGTATAGTTGATTCTGGCTTTAATAATTGAAGTCGGATTATCATCAAACAATGCATATTGCTTATTTCTTCGTAAAAATGGTTCTTGCTCAGATTAGCATTTGTGCTCTTATAAGTTGTATTTCTTTCGTGGTGTCATCTCATCACCTATGTTTTTATGGAGTCGACAATAATCATACATTTTATTACGTTTTTGTATTATGCTTCTTAAGTGTCACTAAATCACCATTAAATATAACGCTCGATAAATGTTGATGTACATTGACAATAATTGAAATGATCATAGTATGAGTTCTGTAATTTCCATTCTGCAGTACGTTTTGTTAAGGTGGTAACAACATATTCAACTTTTATTATATATTGCTGGTTTAAAACATGTACTCGTCTACATGAAAATATGCCTTATGACTAACAAAATAAATCTGAAGATCAGTTGCTAGCTGTCATATCTGAAAGCAACACATATATTGTGTTAGATATAGTAAACCACACAAGGACATTTTAACTTAACTACTTTGGTCACTTGAATGGAATTTTGTTTCAAAGTTCAAATATATATTTCGATAGAACCTTGATATCTTACGTTTGTTTTTAAGATGTTTCATGTGATGTTTGGAAATTCTTATTCAACTATTGCCTTTGAATTAGCTAACGATTCCATATCTAATATGTACTGTAGACAAACATTTACACTTTCTAAAATAAGCTATACGCTAATATATAACACATAGTCTATATTATTCGACCTTGCCACCCATAGTATTTCCCTTGACTCCGTGTAGTAACCAACCATATCCAACATAGAAAATTCCGTCTAAGCAGTCACCTTATTTATTACAATCATAAGAAGAAAACGAGTTATTTATACTAGTAAAATAAATTAAAATTTCCCTAAAACATTGACGTAAAACGTCTTACGGAAGATACTGAATATCATGACTTAATAAAATTTTATGCTTGTGGGTATAGCTTCTGAATTATTTTTTATCAATGAGAGTGTCTTAGTTAATATGGCAATCTTTTTTTTAGTGTCAATACTAACATAATAATTAATACCTATTTAAACTTAATCCGATTCTGAGTCGATGTTAAATTGTTCACTTTTCCAATAAGCCTTTATCTTGTACAAGTTACTGATAAGAGTACTATACTTAACGTTTACTTAGAGTCCATATTTAATCGAGCTTTCAAATATTAAAAGAATAAACCCAAATCAACTTCTTAAAAGGCTCTCCACTATTACTTAATGAATTATTTATATTTCTTAAAACTGTTTTAATGGTTCACTATTAATTTTCATCGCTTGCGTTAGATTTGACACTGATTACGTCAAGACATCACGCTCGACGAGCTTCTTTGATAATTTTCAATCGTCCTAGTTGAAGTTGTATAGTCCGGTAAAAGGTGTTCAAAGTAGAGTAAGTTACTAGTTGCACAAACATCCGCCGCGATAACGTCGCTGTCGTGCTTATCGCGAATTAGCGTCTCGTTCATGTTGTCGTGCACAACCGATGGTGATTGATACTTACTCTCTATGGTATGGCAGTATAGCTCTGCCTCCTTTGTCTATCCTAAAAGGACGAATAATACTAGTATACTATTTGTACCCGTTTAAGTAAAAGCGTAATTTTAATACTTCATTATATAAATTTTACAATGACTACCGGCAACAAAATCTTTGATTATGATGAAAAAAATTGTGAAGGTTCTACGTTTGAGCCGGTTTTGTGCCGGTGACGCTACCACGTGACGCATGTTGCTTGTAATCATGACCTCAGTGCTTATATTAATTGGTTAGTGTCATGCAGACACGTCAGTACATTGTTATTTCTTATTAGAAATCTCGCTGAAAATTAATGATAATGAAGGATATTCGACGATCGAATTGAATAAATACATATTTCCTTCTCGATCCTCATGTTGTTTATGATTGTACCGAAAATAGCATTACATTTGGCATCCAACACACACGTTGTTAAACTTACATTAAGGAAAACTAATGATTTAGTGCTTATATCACAAGTTGGTCATGACAAAAATATCACACACTGCTATAATAATGGAATGATTTTATTTCCAGCGGCATCTTAAAAAGAATACCTTACAATATGAAATGATCGATCGTAGTAAAGTTCCATAATACGAGTAGTAATGATAATAGGCAAGTGCCACATTATTTTCTAATGCTGTATGACCTATAACTGAAAATTAACATAAATCCTTAAAGATTTGAATATAGGTAGTGAGTATTACTATTCAATTAAAATAAATAGCTGTATCACTGCCAGCAATCTTTGCTTTTACCTTCGTTTTTCTACTCACCAGTTATGATGGCATGCGGGCAAGTTGATAAGTTTAATGGGGAGAATCGAGGCAGTGGTGACCTCGATAATAGAATGAATGAATGCATCGTCGTATTGTAATACATCTATTGTTAGTGGCATCCTAAAGATTAAATCTCTTCACTCGACGGTATTGTTAATATTACCTACTTAGTCATCTCTTATAGCACGTGATGTTTAATATTTTAAATAATTGACGTTGTATTCTAGTAATTTTTTAACTGTGTATTATATTTATAGCTAGAATTAATTTTTCTGCAAAAATTTATTCCAAACACATAGAGAACTGAATTGCTTAGATCTCTTATAGTGCATTAAATAAGTAATGACTATGTTAGAATGACATTATCGTCAATTGCGTGAACAAATATGAACGTTTCGCTGTAGTTATACTGAATAGTATACTAGTGATTTTATACCGATGACATAATCACCCCCGGAAGATCACATCCGCTTGGCACCAACCCAAGTACAACAGTGTCGTGTAATTTTAGAACCAAACACAACCGTCTCGTACTTTTTCTATTTTTGTTGTCGCTTCTCGTTTTTGTTGTCATTCACTTTCTACTGGTCGGACGGCGGTAATTGCTTTGATTTAGCTCCATACGTGCTCGAGTCTCGAGTAATTTTTCTATTAGTATTAAGCTGCACACTGTATTAATGACTCCTCTTTACAGTTATTAACTAGTTTTAATCGATTTATTGACACGTGGATTGTTTTATACACGTTTGTGCACTTGTGTTATTAATATGGAGTACATTTGATGCGCTAGTATCATAGGTATCGGCGATCTGTATCTCGGCTTCTGTCCCGTTGTCACGTTTCATGAGTCACGTATTCTCTAACTACACTGACTATGATTGTCAATCAACTTTTCAATTTTGATTCAGATTATCATACATAGAATCGAATTCTAACCGTCACTTGGAACCTCTTTACTGTATTAGTCATTTTCTTATATTAAGATAAATAGCCTAATTATTTTGAATATACATATCTTTTCACTATTGTCTGTGACATTGGCACGATCATGCACTAAGCTTACAATGAAACCCACTTAATTTATAACAATATTGAAATATACAACATGATGTTGTCACCTGGCTTTATGCAAGTTAAATTTTACTGCCTACACAATATGTACAGTTGTGTCCTTTGTGCAAGTTTTCATCGCCATATTTGACCTAAGGTCTTTGCGGTTAGGCGCAAGGTCACTGGAACGTATGAATTAATTTTTACAATGTATTGCAAACAGTAATATAATAAGGAACGTGTCACTATACTATTGAATGTTTTTCTTAATATTTTTTTAACAATAATAATACTGTTTTAAATAATATGTCTGTTGTATGCCGATCATTGTAGTTCGTTGGTAAAACACTCATTTATCAACGAATTAATATTAATTACACCAAGACCAAGTCATAACATTACTTTGCTTACCATAACGAGGCGAAGTGCATAATGCAGTCCAGAAGTGCATCTCATTTTAGATCCACAAAGGTGATCCTCGAAATCGCTGCATTTTGATGAAACCACTTTTATTGCTTTTTTGATTGAAATACATAATCGCTTTAGAATATTCGTACAGAAATACAGTACCAATTTTCTAATCGATTAACACACTTCCAAGTAAACCGTCTTATGCGTGACTGGATACATTCTATTTATTCAAACAGTTGTTGAGATTGAGCATCTATTTTATTTTCTGTTGACAGTTTTTCCCCATACTAAATAATAGAATATGCTATTGTCATTTCATTTAGCAGCTAAAGTCTTACCTGACCATTTTCGCCCTTTTTGTAACGTTATAACTCTATATTTCTCATTGATTTTAATCAATGTTATCCAACTCTACAGATGAACGTCCGTGTGACGACGATGGACGCGGAGCTGGAGTTCGCGATCCAGCAAACGACGACGGGCAAACAACTTTTCGATCAAGTTGTGAAGACCATCGGATTGCGCGAAGTGTGGTTCTTCGGTCTGCAGTATACTGACTCAAAGGGCGACCTCACCTGGATCAAGCTCTATAAAAAGGTTAGTAGCGTAAATATATTGGATCTTTTTTTAAATATTACTCTTAAAGCAGCTACCTAAGAAGCAGGACCTACAAAATTTTATCGTGTTTACTTAAACAGCGAAAGAAATTTGGGATCGCTGTACACCAAGCCAAAGGTTCAAGTATTCAAGCTGCTCACAGATTGAATACCTGAACTCTATTTTTATATTTTAACATACAATTTGTTTGATAAATTACGTAAAATGATTAAACAACATAATTCGTAATTCGCGTTATTATATAAAATGTATACAGTGATAAATTACGTCTTGTAAGTTACATGGCTAACGGGCCGACACGATTCGCGATGTAACGATTATTTTTAGCGGAACCGATTCGCCGGCGCCAACCAAGTTCAAGTTTGTTTTCTTCGTCTATTTTTTAATATTAATACTGAATAAGTGCTCTTTTTAACTTACTTAGCGTACTGTATTCTTCGGTATCGTTATTGTTGAGTTAATGGTCTGTATCTGGTTTGGTTGTGTCTTAGTAAAATAAATAGACTTTCTCATTCGGTATGTCACTTTCAATTAAAACTTTTGCTTCCTTATCAGCTATCGTAGAGACTTGCCGATTCTCGTTGGACCTATCTAAAGCATTTGATTGTGTTTTTCATGAAACATCGATTACGAAACTTCATTACTATGGATTTAAAGATAACTCATTAGATTTTATTGTCTCATACTTGACTGACAGAGTACAGAGGGATGATATGGCAAAAGATCCCTTGGATCGAAAGTTAAGATGGGTGTCCCGCAGGGCTCAATACTTGGTCTTTTTTTGTTTTAAATTTACATAAATGATGCCTTATTTCGTAAGAGATAATCACGAAATAGTTTTGTTAGCGGATGACACTTCACTTTTGTTTAAAATTAAAAGAGGGCTACCTCTAAATAACGATGTGAACAATTCTATCGCTAAAACGTATTGGTTTAATGTCTTCTCCTTAATGAAGGAAAAACAAAATGCCTAAAATTTGTACTACCTAATGTTAAAAAAGTATATTTAATGTTAATAAAAAAGATAAGAACATGGGCCTTGTGGATAACACAGTATTTTTAGGGATAACATTAGATTCTAAACTACAGTGCGGCCCACATATTGATAAATTGTCGAGTAGACTCAGTTCTGCAGCATATGCCGCAATGACGATACGTAGGTTAACTGACATAGATACTGCCAAATTGGTATACTTCAGTTACTTTCATAGTGTAATGTCATATTAAATCCTATTGCGGGGAAATGCTGCCGTCATCGAAATGATATTTGTGTTTCAGAAAAGAGCAATTAAATCCATTTATAATCTTAGGATTAGGGACTCTTTAAAGGAGAAATTTAAGAAATAGACATTATTGTTGCTTCTCAATACATATACGAGAACTTTATGTACGTTCGTAAAAATATTAGTTAGTTTTCTATAAAAAGTGATGTACACAATTTTAATACACGAAATAAAAATAAATTAACGGTACCTGTCAGTAGACTGCAAAAAGTTAGTAACTCATTCAGGGGTCTTCTACAACGCGCTTCTACAACAAGTTCCCAAGCAAAATAAACAATTAGATATCATGCAGTTTAAATCTATTATTAAAAAAAGACTTATTAGAAAATCTTATTATATGGAATCCGATTATATAACAGATAAGAATGCTTGGACTTAAGATGATCCAGCAACTGGATAGGTGATTACTTCTAAACTCATTATACATCAAAAATTATCATGTTTCAATTATTATTAAATGATTATGTTATTATTATAAGACTATAGCTTTTTTCTTAATCTATTTGTAATGTATTGATCTGGTTATGACATGGTTTTTGTGAATGTTATTTACTCCTATTAGAGCTGGTGAGTTTCTTGCTCGTTCTTATCAGCCAAAAGACGTCCTGCACAAGTGGAAGGGAAAAAAATGTTGGACGATTCAAAAGTACTTTTAAGAAGTCTATATGATTAAAGATTATTATGATTTTGACTTTGACTCGTTGTTGCCCTTTTACTGGTGACACGTACCTAAAGTTGATTTCCTCGAGACGCTGCCTTGACAAACATTCGATTCTGATTGAATTCGGCCCGCGTTTCCGTCGCGTTGCCTCCTCACCCATGAACACAATTCTGTGAAATTGTTTTCCTTGCGTACCGTTGACATTGACCTGTTAACGCAATGTCGTCAGGTCCGGAACCAAAATATTTCAAGCTCTATCAGTAAGGACGACCGGTGCGGCTAATTAATATTCTGAAATTGTGATAGCGGTTGCTGCGCTGTGTTACTGTGTTGATGTTTAAAGTAACATTGGAGAAGAATTATATATAACGTCAATTTAAACTACTGTTGATTTTTTAATATTTTCCTCCTTTAAATAGAACATGAGTTAGTTTCTAATCTATTTGATCGATATACTTTTGCAAATCATAATTTAAATTAAAGATGATTACGCAATAGATGTTTATGAAAACTACACATTTCTAGCGCATGATTTTATAGTTAGATTTACGTTCAGACGTTACTGTTAGAATGTTTGAGGTAACATTTTCCTAGAACATTTAGATACGATGGATCATAAATTTATTAAAATACACAGTCTTGTTGGATGTTAATGAATTATTATAGCTAATACTTGTAGATATCCAGACGATGTGCCGATAGTAGCAAGGCAGCTGCACCGTTAGCAATGTGACCTGAGCTACTGTTCGTCTCGCTCGTCGTCGACTAGACGACATTTTTTGATGTACCATGTTCTTGTAGATCGTTTTTGTTTGCGTGAATCCATCAATGTATCTAGATTTAAGATTGTATTTTTCCTCAGTTTATATCTAGAAGGAGTAAGTCTTTATTTTATAAGAGATTCCTGTTTTCAGTTAAGTGCATAAATTGTGTGTTCCATACAAAACTAAACATAGTTATAGTTGTATATATAGTAATGTTTCTGAAAATGTTCGCCTTATCAATATTTATAGAAGTATTGTTTTTGTAATTACTCTTAAGTCAATGTTTTAACAATATAAAATCATGCATTCATACTTTTCATGGATTCCTTTGAAATTACCGATCTTAAAAATTTATGACGTAATCGATTATAATCTGTTTAGATAGGACATCGAAGAATTGCGTAAATGGAATTCCATGAACAAGTAAAATAATAAAATTGTACTCAAATTCCGAGTCGGATTAAAAATTTGTTTCGGGAAATGTATTCCATTTCGTGTGTTTTATATTTACAGAACTTTATAGACTAATGATGGTGATGAAAACACACAAGACGGTTTATGTCTTTATCATCAACTTACAGGTAGAATGAATATTAGCTTTCATTATAATGTCTAGTTAAAAACACCATCTTTTATAATCTATGCCGACGGGCGTGTAGAATTCCTCTCCAGCATCCGTAATATATTTTCGATAGAAGATCAATAGAATCCTTCGGAAAGCCTCAGGATGTCTGCCCATGTCATTAAATTCTAAGTCATACAACGGATTTCTATGTGGTTTTCACTGTCGTTTGAATTATTTTGGATAATTATCAGTCTAAATCTAAGTAAGCGGGTTGCTAGTATAGGTTTCTGATGAATAATTACACCGTTCTTAATGTTTGTAGCACATTGCCACGTGCGATGTGTAAACATTTCATTCATTGAGTGTCGTTTACACACAGGCGGTGGAACGGTCATTATGTTGATAAATCCCGATGGCTAATTCCAGTAAGCTGTTGGCATCGTAAACGGTCCATGTTGCCACTGTGACAAGGTGGTGATGGTAAACAGCAGTTATATTGACGTGCACAACTCCATTAACGTCTCTGCATTTAAATATATTGGAAAGATATTTTGTGTATTTAGATAATGTTTTTTTTGCTAACCACCCCATAGTTAAAAGTAATGCATTTCGTTGTGGTGTTATTTTGAATTAATTGTAGGTATGTGCAGGACCGATCGTTTTGGAGATCTTTGGGGGAGGCCTATGCCCAGCAGTGGGCGTCTCTCGGCTGAAGTGATGATGATGATGATGTGCAGTAAAATAGTTAGTAGTAGTAGAGCAGTCGCCCGGATTGTGAACCAGCTACCAGGGATGAAGTGGATTTTGAACATTGTGAATGCAAAATTGTTTAATATATATTATAACGTATCATTTTACTACGCAGGTCTACGTAGTGATTCATCTCGTTTATATATATATATTTTATCCCATATGCAGAAGCTATTTCAGTGGGCTGGTCATGTCGTATGAGTCAGCGGCGGACTGATACGTGAACGACTTTTGCATTTTACCATATTGAGATTGTATAATACCCACTTAAATGAGATCAAAGAATAATAAGATCCGTTTTCCTGCACTCTGGTGTTGTAATTCCAGCTGGAAAAAAAACTAGGTGATTTGTCTGTTTGGATAAAACAATAGAGTTTCCATTTGTATTTCGTAGTAGGATTAGTGTAAAATTTTGTATTAATCACATCTATTTCGGGCCTGGTCTACTTAACATTTGGTTCTTATACCGTTTGCTATAAAGTCTCTCATTAATTATATTAATAGAAATTTCCGTTTTATTACTTAGACATTATTTTGTAGACTGTTGGGGTTCTACATAACACGTGCTTTGAAAAATATGAATAAATTGCGCTAACGCAATTGTAGCAGCTATTTGCTTGAAGTTTTTAAAGTTTATTAAAAAGGCGACATATTGAAATGCATAAGTGTGATTATAATATTAGTTACTTCGATGGTAGGGTCAGTCTATTACAGTATAAGTCGTAACTGTGATCTTCGTTCAGTCAATTTTATAACAAACTAGCTATTTGTTTGTTATTCAATATGTACCTATGTATATAGGTATTTTAAATATAATCGTGGAAAACTTAGTAGCAAAGGAGTTAAAATTCGATAATAGCAGGGATAGCCGATGTGCAAACTTAGGTATTCAACGGCTTTGGTTAAATATTGATTGCACATTATGGAAAAAATCAACATTATCATAAAAAGATACT